TGAAGATGACGCATAAGTAACTTTGATTTTCTAACTAATTCTTACTAACAACTAATGCTTGAAACATATCTTATCCTTTTCGAAATATACATTATGGATGTAAGGAGAATCTGCTCATCGATAGATGTACAAGGCAGAACTCAATACAGTATTTGCCCTAAATCAATAACCGCAAGGCATTTGATTCAACATCTCATGGGCCCATCTTCATTTGGTCAGATGCCTTGCGGACTCGCCCTGGAGGTTAGGTTAGGTCCAAAGTGAGTGGGTCTATTCGAACCTTCACAGCATGAGTCTTGAAGTGAGCCCATCCTGGAAAATTCTGCCAGAAGTCCATAAATCTTCTTACCATTCAGGTGTTCAATCTTTGTTTGGCAAAGCCCAAAGCGAGGCCAATGCCATGTTCTGCTGCTTGCAGCACCCTCCTCTGCAAAGGAGTCAGCAGCCTCATTGCCTTCCACGTCAATAGATAGATAGATAGATAGATTTCAGTGATCCTTTTTGCTACATAATGTGTATATGGGATAAGTCATAATTGTAGTTGAGTTATAAACATGCATACATATAAACATACAAAGGTATAAACAAACATAGAATGTAAATAAACTAGGTTTCACAATAAAAATAATGTTGTCCAGGCATCATATAAAATCCTATGTAATAATATCAATAACATATATATAAAATATAAGATCAAATAAGATGTGGTACAAATACATTATTTAAATATAAATAGAAAAAAAAGGAAAAATATGAATCACCAGCTTGCTTAGAAACAATAAACAAGGAGAGGTAACAAGGACATTTTGAAATAAAGTTTTCAAAAGAAATACGATCGCTCATTGCTTACTTCAAGTGTAAATTCGTCTACTGTGTAAAAACCCTTTTCTGATAAATAACGTTTCAATTTTTTTTTGAAGATATGAGGAGACAGAGTCTTTATATCGTTTGGCAGTAAATTATACATTCGAATGCCGGCATATTTAGGAGATTTTTCATATTTTGCGTGATGGTGTTTTCGTGTTATGATCATATCTTTTCTTCTTATATTATAGCTATGCATCTCTGTTTTTGTTTGGAAAAGTTCTTTATTTTCATGTACATATGTCAATGTTTTTAAAATGTACAGACTTGCAACTGTCAATATTTTATTTTGTTTGAATATATTTCTACATGAAGTTCTAAAGTCTAAATTAAATATCAACCTCAGCAGTGCTTTTTGTTTTATAAAAATCCTGTCTGATCCAGTAGCTAGTCCCCAGACCGAAATGTTCTGATACATGATCGAGTGAAATTTGGCATAATAAACTGATATCAGTGAATTTGTATCTAACTTGCACTTAAGAGATTTCATCAGATAGTATGATTGATTCAATTTCTTACATATATAATCTATATGTTCTTGCCATGTGAGGAGTGAGTCAACCATAGTTCCTAAGAATTTTGTCGAGCTGGTCAGTTCTAAAGGTTTATTTTGGAAACTGAGATTGAGATTATGTTGACTTCTCGATGAATTCGCGAATTGCATGTATACCGTTTTGTTCTGGTTGACAATGAGTCTGTTCTTGTTACACCACCCATTAAATTCGATTAGAACAGCATTTACCATTTGTGTCATATCGTCAGATGTTTTACTAGAAAGGATGATAGACGTGTCATCTGCATAGAGAAATATTTTTCCATGACTTATATTGAGAGGAAGATCATTTACATATAATAAAAATATTAGTGGCCCAAGAACGCTGCCCTGAGGGGTACCTGTTGTAACTGAAAATGTATCCGACTTGATGTTATTCTGCTTTACCTGGAAACATCTATACGCCAAAAAAGAAACAATTAATTGATTTACATTACCACGAATCCCAAGGTTGAAGAGTTTGTCTGCTACAAATTTAGTGTTCAAAGTGTCAAAGGCCCTGTTCAAGTCAAAGAAGACTCCTACAACAATATTTTTTTCGTCAATTAAATCATGTATGGCCCGGAATCCAGACCAGAGACAATCTGTTAAGTCTTCCTATCGAGGAGAGTCGTTTTTGGCAATTTGCTACCAAATCAGACGTTGCACGGTAGGAGCCAAGAGCTTCCAACGCCGTTTGACCCAGAATATTTTTATTGACTTGTGTATGAGGTTGGATTCTTCCAATCTCCCCTCAAACAATTCAATAGTGTGAATTTCCGCTTGAAATACAGTCGCATAGGTTCCTAGGCAGGTTGATATCTCTATCCTGCACCAGAACCGGAAGGTATTTTCGATCCATTTGTGAACCAACAACTATCTGCTAAGGGTCCAATCAGAGCAGGTCACTTTCAGAATTTCAGGGCAATTATCTATGCTAACTTTTTTGTACATCTCAGTATTGCCATTATCCGTTGCGCTGAGCAGAAATGAGTCACCTCTAGAATACGGAGTCGTAAGGTCTCCCATTTGTTCCATGTGGATAACTTCGAAAGTTATGTTTCTGTGCAATAGGAACTCCATATGGGTGGTGGAAGAGTGCAGGCATGCTAGGGGAATAAAATTCGGAATAGACATTTGTGCAATAGTCCACCTCAGAAGAAAAAAAATCGGAAATTACAGAGAGGATATGCGGCTCGTAGATTCTGCACTATTCTGCGTTATTTTGATGTCAGAGAAGACATTTAAAACTCCGTCAGTCCAGACTAGAACGTTCATTGATTATTGGAATTTCTGGTTATACCACCGTTGATCCAACAAAGGTCATCTTTATCAGTCTTAGGGGGCTTTTGGGGAGCTGTTGGTTCCATCCAGACTCAGACTACAACGCTACAACCCTGAGGAATGAACTCAAAACTATTGAGGATGAAGCAGTATGCACTTGACGAAACTGCTCGAAAAATGATGCATCCCAAATCATCGGGTCCATGGCTTTCTTTCTTCTAACAACAGAGAGGCCGAGAGCTCTCAATTTGACAGTTTATAAATCGTTAATGACTAACAAATCATTGTCCGTCAAGTCATTGTTCACACCTCAAATGAAGTTTCCGTTTGTCTCTGATGCAGTAGCTCTTTCTTTCTTCTTTATTCACTCTCCAGAGGCTAAAATAGAATGGTCACCAATTATTGAATATATTTGTTCATTTAATAGATAGTCTCCCAAAGTGATGAACCTAAATTTTTCTGGGCGATTTAATGAATAAGGATCATGAAGTTGTTGATTCTGACCCCATTCATTAAAATAAAGGTCTGAGAAACACTGGAGGTATAAGTGTACAGCTTTCCAAGATAATGATCTATATCAAAAAAAATTACAGTTGAGATAAATGATAGAGTAAGAAGAGAATGCAAGTGTTCATATATATTAATGGTTACATTTATTTCTTCAGAATTCGATAAGACACAACTTGTCCTTGAACAAATGTTTCGTGAAACATCCGAGATCAAAAGACGAACCAGGCAAAGGAGGTTTCTGGAAGTTGGATTTAGAACGACTTGAAGAGTCACGAAGATCAAAAAGAAGATCTAGCCTCACTGTAAGGGCACCGAGAAATCGACTTCCTGAAGAAAAATTATCGAAACAACCAAGAAAAATCAAAAGGTAACCATTTTTTCAACAATATAATGGCGAATTATATTTTCAGAGCAATTGTTATATGATCGATATTAGTGCAAAAAAAATAAACTACAACTGAACTCGAAGAACTATTGTTCAATAAGTAATTATATATTTTGTCTTATTCATTTTTTCTCTGTAGTGAACTGACTAGTTTTTCGTTTGGGTTTCGTTATATATTTCAATGATTGGTTAACGGAATGTCAGTAGTGGTCTGAAGCCGATTGATGACTTCCCCCCACAATTCGTCCTTGACCTTGAATGATGGCGTACGACCTTCACCTATATGTAGAGTCATATAACCTTGGTAATGGGAGTTGACTTTGAGACTCAGGACTGGCCTTGACACATGACCTTGAGGTTTCACCTCAGACCACGTCTCACATCTTTAAGCTATGTGCATGCCATATGACCTTGAACATAGAGTTTGATTTTGATATTCGACTCTGTTATCGACATTGAGTCAAAAGGGGGTTGTTCTTTCATGAGGAGTCTGGTGTGTATGTATATGTGCAACGAATGTTCATGTATCTCAACGTCCTGAGACGTTCTCCAAGATCAAACATCAAGGTACACGTTTCTAATCTCAAAGCCAAACTACATGTTCAAGGACATTTACAATGCACATAGCTCAAGATCGTGAGACCCAAGCTCAAACCTCTAGGTCGCGTTCCAAAATTCAACTCGCTTCTCAATTTTCATGGTCACATGATCTGACAAAGCTGGAGGTCTTGTGACGTCATTCAATATCGATTTCGAGTGGTGGGGGAGGTCCTCAATCAACATTAGGTCACTACTAATGTATTTTCAACTTTCAAATCAATGATGTGTATTCTTCAAGGTATCGAACAACACAAAAAACGGGAGAAAGGAAGCATAATATTCTCTCCAATATTTCGATTTGCGGAGAAACAGACATCGAAAACTTCGAAGAAACAAAGAAGAGGGAGAAGAAAACTGAAAAGAAACCACAGAAAACTTCAGAAGCCAAAAACGTGAAAGTCAGAGACGCCGAATCGAATGACAACAATAACATCCCTGATAATTTCATTCCAGAATCAATGCCAAATCAATCAGTGATAACAGAACCAGTTAATCAAATGCTCGGTGAGGACGAACTCACAGGTTTGTTACTAGCCACCAAAGGGTGGGATGATTGCCAACTTGAACTTTTAGATTCTTTGTTAGATTCACTCTAATCATTAGTCTGAGGATGAATGGTGTGTGTAATGGATTTGTAATTTTATCGTTTGATAAGAAGAAGGTAGGAATCGCTCACCTTTTGTGGTGTTTTGAGATTAAAAAGAGAAATATAACCTCGAAAATAGGTCTCAACCTAAAGCAGATTAAGGTTCTAGAAAAAAACGAACAATATTTATGGGCTTTATCAGGTCTCTCCATCAAAAAACAATCAAAAAAATAACCAAAAAAGCCAATTCCTCAAGAATTTCCTTTCCCCTACTTTTGGGGGTTGAAGAAAAAAATGGAACAAAATTGGAAAAGGTTTAATTTTTTTTGAGTTTAGTTATTTTTCTTCTGTTAGTAGTTGTAGCAAACTAAATAATTTCGGCTCAAATCAGGCTATATAAAACATATGCTCAATTATTAGCTCAAAAATAATTTGCAAATATTATATAACTGTATGGAATGATAGAATATGTATTTAAGCTGTGGGGGTTGAATGATAAACCACTAATGAATGTAACTTGTTTCATAGTGCCAAAGTGCATGCGTAAGGTTATGTCCCACATGACGCATAAAGGATTTTCAGAAGAAAAGTGAATGATTTTAATGATTTCATCAATCTTCCCCCACTGAAAAATAGTTTTACAATGATTATTTATGTAAGTATGGCATGTTTCAGGGCGAAAAATCAAAATAGTTTTAGACTATCAAACTTGTTTTTTGAAATAAGTGTGTGGCTCATATCCAAAGTATTTTACATATATATTTATAGAGAATAATGTTATACAAAAATAACCAAAAGTGGTGAACTTTCCCATTCAATGAAACTGAATGTACTACGTTGAGAAATACACAGTGTGTTATTGTGCCTTTTGTCAACACGTGTGACTCTTCTGTTGGTTCAGTCCACAATTATTGTAAATAAAAATAATTAGCGTTTGTGAGCGTTCAATTGTATATAGTTATTGGAATTCGGATGGAAATCGATCAAAGACGCATGTATATCGAAGAAAATAAGATCATACTTCGACATTCATGTGAGTACTCACCTTTAAATGAATGCTTGCAAAACAAACCATTTTTTTTTGCAAAATTCAATAGTTTTGACCATGTGAAATGTAAGAGTTATTATAACCTAACCTAACCTAACCTAACCTATTTTATCTTCGTTAAATGTCTCATCTTGAATTCATTTCAATTCTGTATTGAATTTAAACATTCTTTCATGTATGGTGCAAAAATGTAGAACGCGCAAAAATATTCTTGAAACGTTATATGTGAAAAAGTGGAAGGCGTATTATGAATTTTCGGGGGGGGTTAAGATTCTGATGAACATATTCTCCTATGTGAATGTATTTTGGAAAATAACTTCAAAATATAGTTTATATGAATCGAAATTCCAGCCCATTGAGTTCGGTGCCGGTGGTGGCAAACTTTATCGTGGAAAATTTGGAACAACGGGCCTTAGAACAAGCGGACGTGGCCCAACAAGCGGACGTGGCTTCTTTACGTAGATAATACATTCATGGTGAAGAAACACTAATCGAATTTCTATCATACCTAAACTCTTTGGATCCAAACATCCAATTCACAATGGAACTAGAATCCCAAGGGACTCAAACCTTCTTGGGTGTTCTTGTGAACAGACGTGAAAATAGTATATTAGGCCTCAGAGTATACAGTAAACCAACACAAACAAGAACTCTAACCCCAGCCACAACAGAAGAGAGGGTTAATCAAAATGTTGGTCGAGAGAGCAAGACATATCTGAGAACCTGAGAATTTACCTTGAGGACTTCAATCCCCTAAAAAATGCCTTCAGAGAACAGGTACAGCGCAAAATAGCTTTCACACAGTAAATTCCTTCTCTTTAATCAATCCACCCTATTTACAGGTTCAATTTCTTTTGTGATTTTTTGGGTTAATTTCTACTTATATATAATAACTCTCAATATTGAATATTTATCTAATGAATTATGTAACTATTTTTTTTTCTAAAATATGATCATCATACCATCCGATGCCCGTTCTAAGTATTTGTATAAAACATGAGCTCTAACCTCTTCCGTCCATAAAACTGAGATAGAATACTGGGATGCATCTAATCTGTATCTTTGTCTTCATCAGTTACAGATATAGCACATAGTGCATACCAGTTGAAAACGCTTTTAGGTGTAAGTGTTTTAATATTGTAGTTATCTACTTCTCATATAGGTTTTTGTTTCGAAATGTTTTAAAATATCCAGTGTCATTCGGGGGCGTCCATAAATTACGTGAGGTGTTTAAGGGGGGGAGGGTGTCGAGTCAAATCTCATCTAATCTTACGTTGGAGAGAGGGGGGGTCCCGGCGAATATCACGCAATTTTTTTTCTGATNCACTTCCATCATCACGTTTGTTCGGGCAGAAAGGTCTTACTGTTCGCAAAGTCTATGTTGTGTCCTGTCTCTTGATGATGTTGGGACAGGGCGGAAAATGGGTCTGATTTTCGGACAGCAAGTTGATGTTCATATACCCTGCTTGTCACTTGTCTGTTGGTCTGGCCTACATATCTTCTGTCGCAATCAGAGCATGGAATTTCATATATACCCTGGGATTCATTGACAATTTTGTCTTTGGGAGAACGGAGGAATGTGGAAATTTGAAAAAACGTGAACAAATGTGATGATGGTCAGAGACTTCCAACTATCTGGAAACCCCTAATTTCTCGATGCTCACCCCCCCGCCAGGAAGTCCGGTGATGGTAATCACCCGAAGCCACGCCCCTACCTTTCCGCTTCAGTAACTTCCGTCGATATAAATACCACCGATCACACATCGACACGCCTATCAGTCCAAAGGGTAAGTTAATCAGGCTCCAACCTGTTTGAAATCAAGACAACGTGCAGGTCGACACGCCAGTTCAATCTAAGGAATAGGCAGGTTGAGACCTTAGAGAGAACTCGTGACGAAACCTGGGGAGTAGGAAGATTGATGCCCCGGCGTTAAGCCACAAATTCTTGAAAATGGCTCCAAAATGGGAGCCGAAACGTCGAACACAAAAATCCAGACGCAGTTCAACCCGAACTCAAGGATAATATACTTCTGACAACACAACCTTAAGTTAAAATCAAATACTTTTTTCCCTTGTATAATAAATAACTATTAATTTATCGCGCAAAATGACATCAAACACCACCACCACAGAATATAGGCCACAAAAACTTGACCTTCAAAATCAAAGTGCCGCCAGAGGCGTGTCTCTTCTGTAACGTTTTCTGTTATTCTGTGACAAAACCTACGTCCGAGATAAAACTATGAATAACTGAAATTTTTTCTAAAGGTAACAAAATGAGGACATAAGAAAGGTTATTTAAGTAACATGGTTGGTCGAAAAGTAACATTTTGTCACTGAAGTAATTCAGGAACAACGCTGACTGGGATCCATCCGATCAGTTTAAAAGTGGACAAACGCATTTCCCCCACTATAATTTCACCTGGACAAAAATCATTTATTCTTTTTGTTAAATCAGGTGAAATTAGCACCGCAGGCAAAGGTACTCCTCCTTACGGTATCTTTATTTAAACACGTGATTCCTTTAAACTAGTGTTATATTATTCAAAATCATAAATAGACAGTTTTCTCTCCTCGCTTCGGTGCGTTGATTGTTTTCTGCTACCTCCACTACGTGTGGACGATTTTCTTCTATCGACAAGCGACGGTTTCGTCATATCAGTTTTTGAACCATTCAACAATGCTTCTCTTTCTTCCACGTCTACAATTATTTCTGGAACCGTATCCGAACTGAAACACAATTCTAAATATTCTGTATCTGTGACTGTTCTCATTGTTTCCAGAATCTCAAGCGATAAGTTAATCATTACAAGAGACCTATTATTCTCATTGTAGGTTTTGAGAAGTATTTCCAGAGTCTGAAATATAAAAAAACATCATATGAATGTAATCTCAATCTTGGGAAGTAGATAGTAGCGTTGACACTGAGCAGAATGCGTTTATATTCCATAAACATTTATTATATCTTTTGAATCAAAAAAGGGGAGCTTTTTTATTTTCGCATTCTCCACTATTATTATAATTTTTTTTCCAAAGGGTAGGCTTATCGGGCCCTGTCCCTGAAGGACACAGTTGGGAAGGCGCGTCAGTATTATCAACCAATAATCGCTCTTCACCGTGAGGAAATTGATCGTTCGGTCCGAGAATCATATGCCTCAAACAGACGCATGCAACGAACCAAGAATGACAGTCTTCAGCATTTGTCCGGCCAAGATTTCTGCTATGGTGCGGCAAGCCGGTATAATCTTGAAATTTGAAAGTAGAAAAGGCATTATTTCACCAAAAACTCCAATAATCGAACAACAATCCTAACAAAGAAGTCGAGATATCGAGTCTGCGGAGTTCGAAGGGAAATTTTCGATATTTTATCGGTTTTCACTCCTCTTTCCGGACGATATTTCGCTCACCGGAAGCTGAAAACTCCACGACAAATATCGTTTTGCTAGGATGGTCACGAAGAACTACATCAGGCTTATTAACCTGCCTGAAGCTAAAGGTGGGAAATGGATAGTTCCATGCTGACAATAAATGTATTAGGGTCTCAAGCGCCTCGCGGCAGGCCCTGCACTTTGTGTTAGGAACTTCTCTACCCATCACGCGACTGCGGTGGACTAAGGTGTTAAAGACACCATCCTAGCGGATCATGATGAACCCCTCAAGTTTCCGATTTTAGCCCACTGGACCTGAGGAGGGTCGGGTGTTTTGCCAACCCAAGATCTTCAAGGAGTGAAGTGATCTATACGGATTTTATGTAGGCCTTTGTGATCACCTCGTTCAGTGTCGAAAACCAAGTTCGTCAGCCGTTCGAGTAGCTTTAAGAGAAATGCTCCAATTCCTGCTCACTAATGGTCGCGAAGAGGGGGATCCCAACAGAGTCTATCCAGTACCATTCTGCCATGTAGGCACTCCAAACTCAAAAGTCTACGGCCTTCCTGTTGTTGAGGGAAGTACTGTTGAGATAAATAACTTTTCTGCAATGATTTTCTTGTATTTTAGTGTAAGCAGTGATTGGTAGATATTGACTGTTTTATAGTTCGTGTTAGGAATCACACGTTGAAAGGTAAGACCTCGTTAGTCCTTAGCTCGCACAAGTTTCTCAACTTCTGAGAGTTGTCGTTCGTATGGGGGCGGCAGCTGATTAACGGAAAAACAGATTTGAAACAGATTTTTTAAAACATGTGGTATGAATAAGGTGTTGGCATTGTAGAATAAAGAAGAAGAAGAAGAATAGGTTAGGTATAAATAACATTATGGAATGAAATACTTTTTTTTTCGTTGTCATTGTTATGTTATCAAATGTATGATAGAAATGTATGATAGAATGTATTATAAGCAATTGAATATAGTGTGAAAAGCAAGAAACGAGTCTAACTTCTTTAGAAATAAAGTATCACATTAAATAATAAGTACAACCGTTCCGTACAAATAATAAGTACAACTGTGAAACGGTTGTACTTATTATTTGCATTATTTGAATCATTTATTATAATAAGTACAACCGTAGAACGGTTGTACTTATTATATGATTATACAACCGTTCCACGATTGTACTTATTATTTGCATTATTTTTGGGCCTTCACGTCGAGTTGATAAAGCACTTCACTACTCCAAACAAGTAGAGCAAGATTATCATTATTATAAGTATAGCAAGCCAAAAGTTTTCGGATTAAGGCTGAAATGAAAATATAGAACTACTAAAAAGAGAAATAGAAATACGTAAGGTGTAATTCTCGTTTTTAAGTTGCCTTTGACAAATTCACAAAAAATATGTAAAACATAAAATCACGATGAATTCATTTTGAACAAGAGTTCTTGGCATGAATAAGTACTCACTTTTGCAGCAGCATAATCGATTCTGATTATGTTGCAACAGTCGATGATTATAGGCAATTTTGGAATTTGTTTGCTCATCTTCTTAATATACTCCGAAACATAATCGGCACCAGGATAGTACAATCCCAGTTCGGGTTTGATATATAGATACTGGCGACTTTCACCATTGACTCCTTTCTGAAAAAAATCATAAATTAGGACGGGTTCACAAACAATAATTATTAAAACACAGTGTTACAATTTTTTGTCTTCAAACTGTTATACAGTTCTTTTTCGAATTCTTAACTTTTGAACAAATTTCTGTTTTTTTTCGTTAACCAGCTTTCACTTGTGTCAGCTATAGATTAACGAGGTCTTGCCTTTCAGAGTGGCATTCCTAGAACGGTTTGAACTTGTCGATGATATTAAGATAAGAAATTACATGTATTCTACAGATTAACAATAAAATAATGATTTGAAATCTCAATTGAAACATTGATTGTAGTTTTGAAAATTGAAGTGTCAAAAATATACTCTCAATTTTTGGTTGGTTGGTATGAGGATCAATCAGTATCAATATGGATATGTTTACTTCTTAAATTAACTTTCACGTATATTGGATATGAACAAATTCTGTTTCAAGACGCCTACTTTTCGAATGGATAAGAAGATATTTATTTATATAATTTTATGATATTATTAACTGATCAATAAAATTTGGAAAAGAACTGAATAAGACCCACTTTATGGAAGTGATTTTGTTTGAAATAATTCGTGAATCCATCTACAAACTGAATAAGTAATGGGGTAAGTTTACTCACAATACGAGTCTCTGCTAATATCTTTGGTCTGAACCAGACTTTAAGAAGAACTGTTAGGTTACATACACACCCAATTATTAAAGCCATTTCAACTCCGAATAAAGAACCGAGAATAAAAGTCAGCAATGTCAGGAAAAAGTCCATCTCTGAAATAGATAATACAAATATGAGACTGGATGAATATGAAAAGAACCCAAATAACGATACATTGTAAACCTGTATAAAGTTTTCTGTTAGGTTTTTATTTAATTTTCTCCACTTTGCGGCAGGTGTTGATATCAAAATGGTCAATAATAGTCTGAAACCAAGATGATATGAAAATTTTCCACACAACGGAATGATTTTGAATAAAAAATAGTGTGTAACTCCGTTTCAATATGTTGCACGATCATGAAGGTATAGATATCCTAGTGAACAATGGATTTCACCTGATTTTCTGTCTGAACTAAACTAGGGACGACTGGAGAGGTTTCCAAACTTATATAGCCATGCAACCCTAATTAGTAGACATTTTTTGACAGAACCCTAGCTAGTTATTCGTTTATTGTCTTTTTTATGAGTCTACGCCATTTGAACGATTAAGTCTGTCAGCATAAATATTGTGTGCTAGGGATTCGATGACAACGACGAAGTCCGTGTAAGCCTTTAAGTGGTTCAACCACTTTTCGAGCTTTCTAAAGTTTCCAATAACCTCAGTTCTTCCACTATCCCACGCACTATTTGTGATGGATACTAATGAAGTTTTTTCACAACACCAAACCGTTATTTCAACACCTCGACACGTGTTTCGATCACCAAGTGATCATCTTCAAGAGGAAGATTAAACTGATGTGATGGGTCAATCTCCACCAGGGTTCTCAAATCCACGCTCTGTCGGCCAGTTCGGGGCTCATCTACGAAGCTCAAATGTCTACCAAAGCAACGTAGAACAGTCCGTTCATTATTAACACTGTCATTGACAAATACCTGGTTGATTTTTCGAGCTGTTTCGGAGGAGCTTTGATTCAATTTGAATTCATTCGAATTGGCCGAATATCGCTATACGGCATCATAAAGCAATCTACTGAAAAGAGGCAAAACATTAAAGTTTGGTATAAATGAACAGCATCAATGTAGAGAGCACACAATTCTCTATCGATCAGTATACAGCGTGACTCACGGTCGGTGGTAGGTTAGAACTTTAGTTAAGAAAATTATTTTGTAACCTTACAAATTTCCTCTCGTTCATTGGTTTTGATTCAGGATACATTTGGTTGAATTATCTGCAAGTTCTGACAATGATTTGGTCACTTTGTTCATGTGTAATAAACTGGTGTTTATGGCCCGGAGTCTCTGTTATTCGTGCATGAACTCGGAAGGAGACTAGGCCAAGCAACGAAAGATCACCGTTCTATCTCTTTTTTGATAGAAAGAATTAGTATTGCTATTCAACGTGGCAATGCTGCTTCAGTCCTTGGAACTATTCCTCCTTCACATAATGAATTGCATTTTACAAGTGTTGTTCATGACGAAGAATTTCAAAAACAAGATTTTAATGATGAACGACAACGGGAATGTTTCCTACTTATTCATCAAACTCAAACACCTGTTCATGCAGCTGCAGTTTCGTAAGAAGGTATCATCCTTCCCTCCAACCGATTTCCTGGAGTCTTTGAAGTCCACTAGATAGTACTCGTTAGGACAACAAGAGGATTGTTCCGAATTCTTGGGGTTCTTGTTGAATACTCTTCGTGAGCAAAACAATAGCAAAATCAATACTCCTGACAGCTCTGGAATGAATGATTCCGTACAGTCCATCTCGTCTTTTGTTTGTAAATCTTTTGCTGGAAAATCCTCACTTGTTTCCTTTGTAGTAAATGTTCAAGAGGTAGCGAAAACTTATGTGAATTTCTGGAACTTCATTTAGCTTACGCTTTGAAGGATGGTTTGAATCCCTTTTTTCACGAGTCGAGCCAAATTCGGTAATAGTAATGGATAACGCTTCTTATCACAGCCGATTAGTAGAACAGCTGATAACTATGACCACCAGGAAAGCAGACATGCAGAGTAGGACAAAAAGGAATTCCATTTTCCGAGGACATGGTTAAGGCCGAGCTTACGAGTGTCATTAAACAGCATCGTGACAGATATCGCCAGCATGTGGTGGATATAATAGCTCGTGCTGAAGGCATCACCATTTTGAGACTTCCTTCCATTGCGAGTTTAACCCGATAGAATTAATCTGGGCTCAAATTAAAGGTTACGTAGCTCGTGAAAACGTGACATATCAAATTTCTGATGTCCAACGTTTATTAGAACTCGCAATGGAACGGATACGGAAAGAAGATTGGGCTAATGCTGTAGCCCATGTGATCAAGGAAGAAGAAAAAATGTAGAGATTGGACGGGATTGTAGACACTGTTTTCGACCAAATAATAATAGATTTAACTGTGACTGGGGATTCCTCTTCGGACGAGTCAACGGATTCTGAAACTTCAAAAGTATAACATAGGTAATTATTTCTTTGCTTTGTAGTCCTCTTTCTATATAAAAGGAACGTAATAATTATTTTGTAAATTTTTCTGTTTTTTTGAAGTACTTTATTATGCATAATAAGAAAATGTAATCAGTTTTACCATTGACACCAGGTAGCGCCACCTACTGTAACAATGAATAAAAATATTATTTTGGTACGCCTCTGCAGAGTTGGTCATTTCAAGTGTGACGTTGCTAATGAATCACCTTCAATTGAAAATTGTTATAGTATAGATATGTGTAGGACATATAGAGCGATTCCAAAAATGTGTTAATATATGGAGTGTTCTATTTCGATAGAACAGGTAAGGAAATGTAAGATGTGAAATTTTCAGAAAAATCCTGTGTTGCATTTACCATAAACGTCTTACCCACCATCGACACTGAGTCACGTTGTATACCCCGATACCCCACGAATAAATATTTATTGAGATATGGAGCTACGAAAACACATGATATTGAAAAGGACAAAACGTTTGAAACAACTGAAAATATAAAATCTCACTATTAGTCCTCCATAAAACTGGAAATATTTGATAGTCCAAAAGAGAGCTCGCTGCTGTAATTAATACTGCTGCCAATGTCGATTTTGGAATGTAGCGGAAATATGGTGCTAGGAAACTGAGCGCCAAAATTATCACAGAACCTGAAACAAATTAGTTTTCATAGACAAACATTGAGTAACTTCATTGTAGGACATCAAAAAAACAGAACGTTGCCTGAATAGGTACAAAAAATGCTATGTATAGTGCTTTAAAAGAAATTAAGTTGAAAAGAACTACTCTGGAAAAAGTTTCACAAAGGAACTGATCAACTGAAAAATTATATTTATACACAATCCTTCCGTAGATCTGTGAGCAGATTTATTCAGGAACTTTTATGACTTTTTTACTTATAAGGTAATTCGTTTTCAATCAATTATATTTTGACACTGAACCATTCTGAATATGAATTGATACTAAAGATCTGAAAATGAGATCCAGAGATTTTTTCCGAGCTTTCACTGGAAGCACATAACTTAGATGAAATAATACCATCTATATTGACATTAACAAAATCAATCAATATACCTATACTTTTCACGTTGTCAAAAGTTATCAAAATCATCTTCTGTATTAGTGAGTCAATTGAACGCAAGAGAAACCTAAAATCAGATCAAATAGCCTTCAAGGTTAGCTTTATACAAATATTAAATATTTGAACAAGTCAGTTATAAAAAATTCAAGCATTCATACCGCAAAAATATATCCATTGCAAATTTATTATTTTCCCAGAGCAAGTATTAAACAACGCAACGTAGATTTATTATCCGTTTGGTACTGTCTTATCACGACTAAAAATTAGAAATATACCTACTCATAAGATTATTGTAATAAAAATACAATCGCGAACCATAATCGCCTAAGGTCGCTGATGACTATTGCAAAAAAAATATTTCTCAAGGGAAATTGTATATTTGAATTATATTTTAGATGCATAAAATTCGCAATAAAATAACAACGAGTTGAATCAATTCAAAAAGTACAAGCTAGAGTAGGTAGTACGTCTTAGAATAAATTCAGTTCTTTTTATGTATAAATGTGTTGTGTTGTTCCCATAAATAGAGTGAACAAAAATTGCAGTGTTTTTTTCTGAAAAAATTGTCATACACCCAAGATATCTTCGAATTGACCACGTAAGCACTCGGGAGGTCCTTTTTTTAAGGACAAAACACAAGCACTACAGAAAAATCCTTAAGGCGCTCTCAGAGCGGTGCCTGTGCGAAAGTAGCGATTCACATTGGATTTGAATCGCTAGAGAATAAATCCATTTGGAAAAACGTTCTCACAAAGTATATTCCACGTAAACGCAATTCTCCAGATGAAAGATTTCTCAAACAGTAAAGTTCGAGCTGTACTAAGTTGAACCTCAAAACGATGAGCAGCCACAGTCCGTTGCGTATTTCTGATTTGTACTGATCTTGGTGGAATCAAATGTGCTAAGTCACTTGAACACTTTCCGTAAAACCGTAAAAGTATTTATAGAAGGGAGACGAATCTCCAACCTTTCTTCGATGCCCAGGCTATAAATGTTGCACGTGATGTTCGCGTCTCCAGTAGTAGATTACAGCCGTTTCTGGGCCTCCCCCCACCACTATGACGTATTCATTTTTTTTCTTTAGTAAAATCAAAACGATGTGACCTTGAAGTATCTGGTGCATAGATCATTCAGAATTTTTTGTGTGTGTGATATAATGACGTGATTACATTTGGTTGGTGTGTGTGTCTGTGAGAGAGAATGCATGGTACAGGGTTATTCATGTGCGTATTATGTACAAACATACGTCTGCATACTTCAAAGATCATCCAAGTAATGAATGTTCCATTGGTATGAGCCCACCAAGTTAGTGGTGTGACGTCACAGCAGCAACCGTTCAACAGTAGGAGAGCGAGATGTTCACTCCATGGCGTGTTGCTGAGTAAAGCGTATTCATCAGTGTGTCCTTACCTCTCTCGATGCGACGATGGCTATGACGTAACGCATCGCTCTACCCTCGCTGTCGATGGTGACGCGCAGGCGGCGAGGACTGTGTTAGCGTCTGTCCTCTACGATGGCGCAACGACCACTGTCTGTTCGTATCGATATCTGTTAACGCATCTAGCTGAGAGGTTCGGTTGGCGCGTGTAGTTGGGAGGGGGGGTTGGCAATGACGTCTTGATGGACCCGATCAGACTGTATTTAAGAAGCGGACGAGTGTTGATTATGTCAGTTTACATCAAGTGAGTTAGTGAGAACGTATCATAGAAAATGTATTCCTGTGACTGTGGTAAATCTTTCACTCGTAGTGATGATCTTCGTCGGCATCATCTCCAGAGTTGCCAATGTGGGCCTTCAGTGAAATGGATGAGAGTGGGTAATGCAACAACTATGTATACATGCAATTGTTGTAATGTGACAATTCCTATGACCCAAGTGAACTCTCACCGAAGAACCATGAGTCATAAAAATAGTGCATGTGTTCAATTGTCTGAAAGTATTCAAATTATAACGAATGCATTCAATTGCCGCATTGCTACATACATGTGAAGAGTTCGATTGTATCCACTAACTACATGTCATTTTCTAATGAGATTAGACAGAAGGTCTTTGAATTACTGGAATCGGCCATCAGGATCCATAAAAGCATCAAAGTGAATATGTAAGTTTTTGGGAATTATATTCTTCAGACTCAAGATTCGAGGGACACGAAGTCATTTAATTCCCAAAATAAAATAGTGGACCAATCTTCTGATTTGAATGCCGTTTTTGATGGATTCCGCGATGTAATTGTGGCTCAAACAACTGAATTCCAGGAACGTGACTCAGGTATTTATTTTTCGTAAATTTCAACGAGATTGAATAGTAATTTTGTTTTGTAATTTAGGTTGGACTTGTCAAAAAATGATGTTTCTCGAGGTCAACATTAATAAATACAGTCCACTGGGAGGACGTTCATATGTGAAGCTCTTTTCTGGATGAAATCCAGAAACTTCAGGGTATCTTTGGGGGAGAGCTCCATACATGACAACAATACTCCAAAGAAGGTCTGATCTGAGCTTAATGAAGCATCAAAAGTTGCTGAGGTGTGTACAGTTTTCTGGTTCGAAACAATATTCCAAGCTTTTAAAGAGCAGCCTTTGCAATTTCAGCGACATGATTGTGCCAAGACCTATTAGTGTACATTTTAACCCCCAACAAACTCATCGAAGCAGAAAGCGGAATTGTCTGACCTGACATTATTATATCCGGTTCGGAGACATTCATCTTCTTGGAGAAAACCGATGACTGGGTTTTTGTGGCATCGAAATGAACCTGGTTACTTTCACCCCAATTTGAAATATCTTCTAGATCCTCGTTAAGATAAGCAACCTCCTGCTGCCGGAGAAGATTTTCCTCCGCAGCCGATATCCTGGAATCCAAATGGAATGACGAGACAAGTGTGACCTAAGTGGCACTTTACTTATATTCTCTAATTACCTCTGTAGTCCTGGTGTAGTAAATAATATTATATAACTAATACTGATAATTAGAATTCTTTTTCTTCACATTATACTTACCAGAGTAAATTCCTTGAAGAGGTGACCGGACATCGCTGCTGCTTGCCACAGCAGATCTGGTGAAAGCACCGCAGCTGGGCATGGCTTTGACGAAAGATCCCAAAATATTACACAAGCCTAATGATATCATTTCTTGAGAAGCATCAATGATTACCTCACCACCTGAAAATGTTCAAAAAATAAATGCTGCAATTTGTAGTGAAAAGTCAGTCACAAAACAAAGTATGTTAGTTGTGTAACTTATTAAAAAAAGATACCTCATGGAACTTATATCTTTCCTACACTATGATATGATGGAAATTGGACGATCTAACGCCACATTCCCTCAATGGTGAGGTCATTCCATTTGGCATGGAGGGGAAATATCTTGGCATTGTCCTTGATAAAAGACTCAACCATGAAAGGATGGTGTTTTTTCATGATTGAGGATTAAAAAATCGAATCGCACATCAGAACTGCTGCGAGGAATGGTAAAACCTCTTACACAAATCTATTATATCTGAGGAGGACTACTTTGAAGGAGACAAAATGGAAATTGATGAATAAATGACTACTTTTTGAGAAAAATTACAATCTTATTTTTGAACAGACGAACACACTTCGTATAGGTTATACTAGAAATTGACTTGATAGTCCTCACTAAGTGAAGGATAGTTCATAAGATGTGAATAAAAACATTAACATTATCACAAAAAAAATCAGTTTTAGTGGTTTCCTGACGAGAAATTGAAATAACAGAAATCTGCCAAGCCTAGACGATCCTCCGTCTCCATCAATGTATCAAAAACATCAGCATTTTAGGTTAGTTACGTGAATATTTCATACTCACTGTATGCTTTGGCAATGGCAACGTTGGCTAATACAGCCACCACTGGAACAACTATAACGCCTGATCCTAACGAATCGATCATTTCCTTGTAGCCAACCGTTTCGTTACCAATTTTGGGCCGAGAAGGAAAGCTAAAATCAGGTAAGCCTTTAGGCACATTTCCAGTTATTGAGAAAGGCACACCGCCATTAGTTTCCATATAGAAGGCTACCATTGAAGTTATTAGTACAATCAATGCATTTTTAGAAATCCCCAGGAACCACAGTAGTTTTTTCACAGAAGGATTCTTCACTTTCAGTTTGGGCAGTTGCTAAAAATATTTTCTTGATTATTGTAGTGCTAGAAATATATTTTTCAGTATACATATAACATCGGAAGAAGTGATACTTGTACATANCGGTTTTGGAGTGTTATTTCTCATCAATTCAGAATAGATATTATTGTTGGCCTGAAAAGTTGGTAAGCTAACATAGAAAAAAACTTTTTGATAAAATTTGATTTTATTATTCAATATAGTGGCCTTCGAGAGCAATATAACGATTATAGCGGTCATAATATTTTTCAATACCACTTTTGTAGAACGATTTGTCTTTAGCCTCAAAGTGTGCCTCAAATTCGAAGATTACCTCTTCATCGGCGCTATATTCTTTCCAGCGAGCATTCTCTAAGAGGAGCAAAAAGTCGCTGGGGATCAGATCTGAAGAATGCGGTGGATGCAATAGCAAATTCATGCAATTTTGCCATCGTTGAAGCTATTGAAGCGTGAAAATAAAAGAGAATGAAAGTTTGGAAGTACGCTGTTAATTTATGTTCTGTCAAATGATCTGAACAACTTTATAGATACATTTTTTTCTGTATTTGGAAATATAAGGGTTCTTTTGTACCAATTGCTGATTTCAGTTCCCCTGTATGATGGAATGTTGTTTTCCAAATTTGATATATATATTATCTCAGTTTGGGACGATACAGACCTTTTTTCAAAGATTGAAAATTTCCGACAAAGCGATAACAAAAAAGTTCTTCATTTGTAGGGAACATTTGAGTGAAATTAAGTGACAAATGTGGAGTTGTTTGGATGCTAGAAGGCCATGAATTCATACCAGAGTGAATGATGTCAATCTAAACAAGTCTCGCAAATACATTTTTCTATGTTAGAAAATTGAAGGAAAGTTGCCTCTTGCGTTGATTGCTAATCAATCCATTTCTTGAAATTAGAAAATTATGCAAAATTAGTCATGAGAGAGTCCGGGTTGAACCGCGACTGATATTTTCAGTTGTTCGACGCGTTTCGACTTTGAAGCCATTTTCAAGAAGCTATGACTAAACTGAGATCTCAATTTGCCTACTCCTCAGGTAGCGACACGCTGTGGAGGTTCCCTACGCTTAGAAGTAGGCAGATTGAGACCATTACAGAGGTTAGTAGCGAGAACTGGAAAGTAGGCAGATTAAGGCCCCGGGGTCGAGTCACGAATATTTTGCAGCGGTTAATCTGTGCCAGTTGAACCACGTTACAGTTGTTCAACGTTTTGGCTTCCACTTTGAAACCATTTTCAAGAAGCTATCACTACATTGAGGTCTTTAAGGGTTTTGTAACTTGACACCGGGGTCTCAATCTGCCTTCTCCCATTTTGTATTCAATAACACTGTGATTATAATTATGTTCTCTCATTCTGATGTTCTAATAAGAAAATTATTAACTTTTTCATAGAACTGACACTCGTGGGAAGAAAGTCAAATGAATGGAGTGTACACTATTCACAACTTCATATTCTTCTGACGTTATGTCAACTGTTTTAGGAAGGTCTGCCTCATGGAAAAATGTATGGTTCATTTTAAAATCAAAACATTCCAAATGAGTTTACCTTGAAAGCAATCAGGAAGACAAAGCACGAGATAGAGACGATGGTGTCAGCTAACTTAATATCATGGAATTTTTGAAAAAATTCTTTAATTATTCCAATACAATCGTGGCTCTTAATTTTCAAACCAAACAGAGCTTTCAACTGAGCCATCGTAATTATGAGTGTTGTTGCAGATGTGAAACCTGAGGTCAAACATGGTGAAATGAAATCCACGAGGAATCCTGCAAATAAAATGATTAGTTTCAATTACTGAAAACATATTTCTGTGTGATAATGTGAAATTTGAACCATGATACATTCATTTCAAAATCATTATTTACGACGTACTCATATTGGTACTAACCACATATAACAGAGATGATAAAGATGCAGCACAATTGATTCGAAAACACAAAAACATAAGTCTCCATGAAAAAAATTCAACTTTATCTGTATCTAAACTATAAAGTCATTTACTAGCCTTGAGAAAGAGGATTTCACTGTATCGAATCGACTGATCACACTGGAAATGAACAACACTCAGTGTTCACAAGTTATCTAGGTCACAGTTGATTAAAAACATTGTACTATTCTTATTCTTTTTATTATTCTCATTAAAATAAAATTGCATCTGACTTTCATAATTTATCTCTAAGGGCTTAGAAATATATTGTTACCTCTCTACCCCGTGGATTTACCAATAACTGACTACACTGGACAATAATCAAACTTAACTTTACTTCACTTTGAATACAACAAATACTTCAACTAAAACTTCAACTATTATCAAACTTCCACTTGACTGTCTCGATAGGCGTGTGGGTCGTGTTTATAATATTTGGCAATCGAAGGCCGTAGAAAATTCCGGGGAATTCCATCGAATCCAGCGGAATAGTCGCCGGGGCTCCATCGAAGTCAGTGCAAAGGCTAGAATAATCGACGCAATGTGCGACCTTGACTACGTCACAGTTGGTTTATGCTACCTTTGGCGGTCGGCGTTATTTTTATTCAGGGCATGATTCACAACACTAACCCATTCCTTGGGGTTGTTCGCCGCAAACAACATTCCAAGAGGTGACATCACGACCCATGTAAGAACTCGGTCTCTCTATGTGGACAACTTTAGTCTTGCTTCTGGATGGCAATTGGATCCTGTACACCAGATCGTTTATCTTTTTGGTTACCAAGTAAGGTCCGTGCCATGGTCTCTGCAACCTGGAACACAAACCTTTCCGATATCGGGGTTGGTAAGAACACACTGCATTGCCCTTCTTGAAGCTCACCGGTAGCGACTTTTTGTCAAAGCTTGTCATTATCCCGTCGCTGGAAAGCTGTAATTTGGATCTGGGAATTTTATGTACAATTTTCAGTCACTCCTTCAGGCTATTCACATATTCTGAAATAGGAACCTCTTGAGAATCATCAGATGGGCTGCCACATAATACGTCTATCAGAAGTTTCAGTTCTCGATCAGTTAACAACATGGATGGTGTGTAACCTGTCGCGTCATGTTGGGAGCTCCCGTATGCCAACAGAAAGAAATGTACCAATTCATCCCAGTCTCTCTGGTTTTCGGAGGCAAACAGCGAGAGGTAGTTATTTATGGTGCGATTATGCCTCTCATCCATTCCATCGGACTGCGGATGAAGAACAGTTGACCTTGTCTTTTTTTCCCTGCTAAATCATCATTTCCTTTTATAAATCCGATTCGAAGTTGCGGCCCGGATCCAAATGTAGTTCCTGAGGTACTCCGTTTCTGACAATAACGTTCTGCAACCGTTTGAGCATCTTGGTTGAAAAGAAGAAGTGTCGTAATCGATACTTCCTGTTTTCACCATGGAATAGAAAATTTTTAGTCAATTATTCCACTTCCGACACCAAATTTCACCACTTTACCCCGTGGATTTAGCAATAATTGACTACACTAAACAATTATCAAACTTAACTTTATTTTACTCTGAATACAACAAACACTTCAACTAAAACTTCAATTATTATTCCAACGCCTATCGCCTCATTAGATCGACCCGCGTACCACGATGTCACTTCCACTTGACTGTCTCAATCGGCGTGTGGATCGTGTTTATATTTGGCAATCGAAGGCCGTAGAAAATTACGAGGAATTCCGTCGAAGCCAGTGGAATAGTCGCCGGGATTCCATCGAAGCCGGTGCAAAGACTAGAATAATCGAGACTGTGTGCGACCTTGACTACGTCACAGTTGATTTATGCTACCAGTGGCGGCCGGCGTTATTTTCTTCAGGGCATGATTTACAACAATATTATAAAATTACGCCAAAAAGTCTCTATTGAAGTGGTTTATACATCAAAACAGTATTATAACAACGAAAGAAACATACAACTCTCACCTCAGAATGATTTGACCAAATCCCTGAGGAAAACACTATTTGTCTGGTTGATACCAGGATGGATATTGGATTAATGCAAGTTTTCTTGCAGAGAAAATTATTGGAGATGATTCTCTCAGTCTGGTAACATGACCTGGTTTAAATCAATTGAGTGACCGGTTTTGGAGTGTTATTTCTCATCAATTCAGAATAGATCAAGTCAAAACACATTGGAGAAGTTTAGTCTGTAATCAAATGTTGTCGGCTCCATTTTGTCAATGGAGCTCTACTATCAGGAAAAGGGCATTCCATGTAACAAAACACTCTGATGACTGTTTTCATCGGGCATTTCGCAAATGCCTGCCGAAAAAAGTTTCTCTGTAAGAAAATACTTTCTGGAAGAAAATATCGGATGTAATCCAATATCAGCCGTAGTATTAGCCAGAAAGACATATATGTTCCGCATTCAATTCGAAATGACCGTGTAGTATAATGACAAGGAAATATACATAATTCATTCATGAGAGGTAAAACTGTAATCTTCTGCGTAGAACGAATCCAACACAAATATTTCTCCCACACAACAGAACTATAACACTATTTTCCAACCAAGTTGGTGTCATCGAGAAGTGAACTTTTCTCTAAAGTTCATCTATACTATTTAGTTCGCCTATATAGTTCGTAATCAACTATACATTATAGCCAGCTTAATTGTTATCGAAAAGAGAGTCGCAATTCTGGTGTGTTGGAGAAGTATTCGTGTGTTAATAATGAATTTTCTTACCGCATTTCAATATTCCCATCAGTAATTCCACGACTCCAGCAATAAAAGCTAATAAAATAACATATTCAACTGGTTTTCCGACTGTATACGAGAATGACAAAATTGACATCAAACTTGTTGGTCCTATGGAAACCTGAAAAAAAATGTGTTGCGTTGGATTGATTTGTACATGGAAAACCATACTTTGGAATTACATCAGTTCCTCATGATGCGAAATTACGAGTTCCACAAGGATATGTTCTGGGTCCATTGTAATTCTTGATTTTTATCAGTGACTTGCTTGAATTCATATCAGATTGTCACATAACCAGATATGCTGACGATACTACAATCATTATTTTTGGGAAAAACGATAAAAATATATTTAATTATTGACAAATTTAGTAGTTGGTATCAACGTAATAAACTGGTTTCAAATAAATCTTAGTCAGTATTGATGAAATAATTTGTAAGAAGGAATTTCTGTTGTGATTTATTCACTTTGAATGACATAAAAATACAAAGAGAAATAAATTCTCTGGAAACTATTTTAGATAAGAGTCACATACAAAAAGTGGACAGCAATTTAGATTTAGCTTATCATTCAATAAAGCAGTTGAAACATTGTTTGGATAGGTTTCCCTGAAAGTAATATTGTGTTGTATTTGTTTTTTCGAAATCTACCTGTTTTGCTAGAATTAACCATTTATTCAATTAGATTTTAATATAAAATGCCAATATTTCACCTGTTTTTCTAGAAGAAATTTTATATTGATATTGTTTTTCCAAACTGTAATGTAATTGTTTTTTTTAAATATGGTTTATCAGAATCAATGATTTGAGTATTTTGATTTCCTACTGTTATATAAAAGACATCGTAGAATAGTTTGATGAATCAGTCCAACTGATGGAAAGGAAAAATATATGTAATCTCTGATTATACAGGGTGGGGCAACCCATACGACACGGTCCCTGTAAACCAAACAAATTTTTTTTCGACAATTTCTCCATTTCATTATAAGTATATTGATAAGGGTTGCGGCAAGAAAATATTTTATCTACAGGGTGGCTCAAAAAAGTGTGACTTATCAAAATTGTGTTTTTTTAGTAGAACACCTTTTATTTATTTACACTTTTGAAAAAAAAATAATATGATTTCATATAACGTACTATGTACCTAACTATAACCGTTCTCAAGTTATTGATTTTTTCTTGAAAATAACATCCAAATATATAGAAATCATCCCTTCAAAAATCATTGTCACTTTATAAATTCGGATAAAGATAACTTTGTTATTTCAAATAGAACGCCCTGTATTTTTTAAGGCTAAACAATATGAAGTTTAATTATCTTTAATTTCATTTTGGAGTTCCCTATACCTAACCTAAATAGTTTCTCAGAGTTTCCAAATAGAAGTTTTTATTTAAATGCATTCTTTGAATCAATAATGAAAACAAAACTCCCATATTATTTGTTTGAAGGTGATTATTAATGTTTCATGATAAATTTCATTAGTTCGGACTTCCATTGTCTGAGATTATATAAAATGATTTGAAATCCCTTCCCGTCTTAACAGTCATCACCCGAAGACGACTGTGGATACTAACAATCGAAACGTAGCGAAATAACTTGGCTTGAAATCTCTTAACTTTTTAATTTCATTTTATTTATCTAATCCTATTTTCAACGCAAGATTTTCAGGAGAACTTTCTACTGATTCGTAAGGAAAAACATGTTCCACAGAATCTGCATGAAAACCATTTCTCAAGTTGCAATCGATCCTTCCAAGTGATGAAAGGTTTCGTAGAGGGATCGATTCGGCTCTTGTTACATGAAGCTCTTCCACTGAAAGGAAACCAAAACCACGAAGACTGCAGCTCATATTATTTTTTCCTGACCTATTCAAAAATGTAACGAAATACAGGGTGTTCCATTGATGTGTCACATTTTTTGAGCCATCCTGCAGGCTCCAAATTAATATACATATAAGGAAATGGAGGAATTCCCGAAAAAAAAAAACGGTTTGGTTAACAGGGACTGTGCTGTATGGGGTGCCCGTATGTTCCTAAATATCTTTTCATTTCTACATATGAATATGTGCGAACCTCACCTCTTTTACTGTTCCAAAAAACACATACGTGAACGAGCCAATAAAGGCAGTATACAACCCGTATTGGGGAGCCATTCCAGCAAGTCCAGCATAAGCGATAGATTGAGGCATCATAGTCAGGCCAACGGTCAGTCCGGAGATAAAATCGGCCAAGACGTCTTTCTTTGTGTACTTCGGTAACCATTGCAGAATATGCACGCGCTTGTAAAGCACTTTCTTCGCTTTAGAGGAAAGATTTTCCGTTGATACTGACGACGTATTTTGAAGCGGACCCACTGAAATACATAAAAAAGTTTACGAGTAAATTATGTTGATCCTATCATGGAATCAGAAAAAGTAAACTCTCACGGCCGGAGATAACTGTGTCAAAGATATTTGCCGGTTTTTTTGGTCGTGATCTGCAGTTTTTATGCCTGTTGTTTCATCTAATACTGCGGTAGATATTATCGAAGGCGATGTAGTGATGGTCGCAGGGCCCGAATTGGTGGTCCCGTTGTTATGAACGCATTCACTACGATGCTTGAATTTGACTAAGGTTTTATATTATTATTGGTGGGCTTGGTTTCTCTTAATTGGATTACCTGATCTTGTTTGTTCATCTGTAAGGACCGGTAGCCAGATTTTATTGATGTTCATTGCCTCTTTTCTTGTTTAGAAATTATCCCTCTTTTTTAATTTATATTTTCTGTCTATCTACTCTTCTATAGTAATTTTGAGTTTTATCGAGTGATAAGAACAACAGGACTTTCAGAAAAAAAGGATATTTTGTGTGGTGTTTCACAAGGATCAGTTTTAGGACCCATATTATTCTTATTATATGTCAATGACATTGCAAATTTGAGCATTTCTGGAAATTACATCTTTTCGCTGATGACACGACGATATTGTGGAACAACAAAAACTCAAATGATTTACACAGTGCAATATCCACTGATATGAAAAAAATCAAGAAGTGGTGTGATGCTAATTTGCTATCCTTCAATATCACTAAAACAAACATTTTATCATTCAGATGTGCTCTTGATGACCTGTCATTTGGTGATAACTTAGGGATCAAGAACGACACTCAATCTAAATTTCTAAGTACTTATTCACATTGATAATAAGCTTAAATTTTTGAACATATCAAACAACTTAAAAGTAAAATTTGTTCTGGATATTATGCAGTGAGAGTAACTTCAATAAATTTGGGAATCAAAACTGCCAGAACGGTGTATTACGCCCTCGTTGAATACCACCTATGTGGGATAGAATACCGTTTTGGGGATAATGCAATTCATCGGCACTTCTGTTTGTATTAGTACTGCAGAAACAGGCTATCAGTTATATGTGTAAGATTGAACCCCGTGATTCATGCAGTCACAAAAGATTTTAACAGTGATTGCTTTGTTCATTTTGGAATCGGTTTGCCTCATTTACAAAAATTTGTCCCTATTTGAGGCTTCATGCTGTTCTTATAGCATTCGTTCCACCGCGTTGAAACTGTCAATTCTTTCAACAAATTTGGTCAGGAATTTTATTTATTACAATGGGGTCAAGATGTTTAGTCACTTGCCCTCAGAAATTAAAGAGGTAAATTTGACCAACAAAATGTTTAGCATAAGAGCAAAACATTTTTATCTGATAGATAGACCCTTTTATAATTTTCAGGAGTTCTATAATGATAAATTCACGTGACAAAATGTGCATATTTGCACATCGTCCTCTTTTGAGATGGACCATTGCACATTTGTCTATCCCGAATTTCATACCGATAGCATGCATGTAGTTTTACACCACCCTCAAGGACTGTTGGAGATCCTCCTCTCCAGAGGCATAAAGTTTAAGATCATCCATATAAAACAAATGAGTGACCTTGTGCCTTCGGTGTCCGGGGGTGCCACAGTTATACCCTCGAGTATTCCTCAGCGCAATGGATAATGGCAATAGTGAGATGCAGAAGAGAAGGAGACTGAGGGAATCGCCCTGAAATACACCCCTTCTGAAAGTGACCCAACCTGTTTGGAGTCTGACTTGACCAGATGTTATGGTGAAGCGAGCAGCAAAGTTCTTGGAAACCCACAAGGCCTCTTTGAACTTCATCCGAGGTTATCGGGTTGGGCAGTTCATTGAGCTCAGACTGTTGAAGTTTTCTGTTGAAAGCTTCGAACTGCACTAGGGCTGGAGTGTCTAGATTGAGAGGCTGCGGATGTTCATAGATATCCTTCCAGAAGGATTCCAACTGATCAGCGGTCGGCGAATTATCCACAACACGTGAAGGCTCTTGGAATAAGCGAGGTTTCTCGCGGAACCTAAGGTTTTCCGCGATATTTCTCCCTCGTCTCACTAGTGACTTCTTAGCAGCCACTAGCATTCGTATGCTATCAAGGCAGTGCTGTTTCGTGATCAGCAACACTCCTTAATTTAAAGTGTGATGAATATGTCGTAGTTTGGCGGCTATTCGCCACACTGCGGGCGTGAAAGGCCTATTGGCCGCCCTGTAATCCATCACACATTGGATACGAGACGCCTGTTGTCGAAGATACAGTAATACTCGATAAAACTCAAAATTTCTATCCAAAGGTATATAGAGAAGCAAGATTAATCCTTTGTCTTTCCCAGGAGCTTTCACTGCAAGACAACTAGATGAAAGAGAAGCCCAAAAACAAAACATTTGTGATCCAATGCCAGACAGCGCTGTTCCAAATCTCATCGGTGGTACTAGGTTGAACCACGAATGCATTACTGGACGCAACTGTCGTTAAAAAATAAGCCTGGGTGAGTACATGCAATTACTTTTTCCCTTACTAAGGCGGCATCTATATAATCTACTAATATCTCCTTGAACTTCATAAAGGCAGATGTCATCGCTTCTACAAACGCGACGTTTAATTAATTAGAATCTTCTAATATAAAGGGCCTTCCATCAAGCGCTTTCTATTTTTTAACTTCAAATAAAACATTCATTTGAAAGGCCTATTGATGCTTTCATATGTGGCATATAACATCTTTCAAATGTCCGCCTCGGCTTTTCTGAGCGGGGCGCATCAGAAACGTCCAATTTTACATGACTCTGGTGCATGATTCAGCCTGAATTTGACCGACAGCATAAGTTATATTGGCTTTGGGGCCACTGTGGTTTGTATTCATCCATCCATCGCTGGATCTATACGTGGAAACTTCACCTTTTGTGGTATTTGTTATCGGTCTCTCAGAACTTGTTGAAAATCTTCACATAACTTTGGTTGCGGATGATACCACAATGACAATCACTGGGACGACACTGGAAGATGTACTAACAAGAGTCGAAGAGGTTATTGATGGATTTACCTCATTGTGTGAACGCAACAATTTAATATTGAATAATTTTAATTCTGTTCCGACGAAAAAATAACATTCCAGGTGGTGTTTTTTTTTTTAAAGGGTTTTGTGCTTAAGGCGGTCTCAGAGCGGTGCCTGTGCGAAAGTAGCGTTTCACATTGGATTTGAATCGAAATGATAATTAAAATATAATAATTGAAAATTAAAAGATTCCAAACCAAGTTATGTCAGGACGTTTCGATTGATAGTATCCACAATCGTCTTCGGGTGATAACTGGACTCATTTCTCCGAGATCTAACCATTTATAGGTCACTCGAGTGCTTTCACCTATCCCCTCTTTCCTCCCTCCGCTTCATCGGTTTTAGCGGGAGCTAACTGTTTGACGGGAGTTGGTCGTGGTCCGCTTGATTATAGGTTTCCATATGTTGCGTATCTCTATGGTAGCTCGGCTACATTCGTTGTCGGACAACATATATGCGGCTTCTTTGAATTTTCTCCTGAACCAGTCTTCTTCCTTGTGGATGATTTCAGCCTGAGACCACTTGTTATATTGATGAATACAAACATGTTCTACTATTCCTGATTTGCTGGTTTCTCCTGGCTGTGTGTGTTTCTTGTGAAAATATGTCACCGCTAAGAGCACAATAGAAGTAACAAAATTTATTATCAAAAACGTAACGAGGAGGTATTAATACAGATAAAACATTCAAACATCATGATTTATATTCTTTTCTACACAGGTTTTGTTTGAATGTGCATAATTATTATCACCGGAGAAAGATTGAAAATGGGATCATAAAAGTTGAATTATGTCGTTCATTTCAAAAATAACCTAGAAACAATCCTATTTTTAATATTTTACAATCACGGTTTATATTTCATTCACAAATTCACGTAAAATGGAAGAGAGATGACTTTGTGACTAAGTGGATTGAGTAATAATTCCAATCCGTTTAAACTTTTTTCTTGGTGTCATCGGCATCGACTACATTAGTCATTTTCCTCGAGTCCTGAGTAGGCAATGTTAATAACTCCCCGAACGTCGGACAAAAACATTCAACGTCACATATTATTACTGTTTGGTTCAGCTGGTAGATGAAGTTGATAAAATTTGCTAATTAGAACATCCGATCTCTTCCCTCTTATCTAACCATCAAAACTCTGGTTAGAAATAATTCTTCGACATAAAATCAAAAAAAAAATGACAGACTTATGCTTCACTTTTATAATTTTAACCAATTCATACAAATATAATAATCCACATCACAATCTCTTCCTCTTCAAAATCTTCTACGATTGAACAGAAAAGGTACTGCGCCTCCAAGTCCACCTGGTATTCTTCCAAAACCTCCTCCGAATCCTCTACGTCCTCCTCCAAATCCTCCACCACGACCTCCTCCAAACCCTCCACCACGACCTCCTCCAAATCCTCCACCTCGGCCACCTCCAAATCCTCCACCACGGCCTCCTCCGAATCCTCCACCTCGACCTCCTCCAAATCCTCCTCCATGGCCACCTCCAAATCCTCCATGCCCTCCTCCATGACCGCCTCCATGACCTGGTTCAGATTCAATTTCCAAAACAATCAACAGGATTATGACGAGTGAAAATACCTAAAAATAATAGTAGTAATTAGTGAAACATTACAATATGTAGGTGTTTTATTGGGTTTATGTCGTTGAAAAATATGAAGGTGATAATGAGTAGGCATCAGCCTCAATTTTTTCTGGCTTCTCAAATATCCATTTTTAATAATACGCCTATTTTTTTTAAGGACGAAACATAAGCACTACTGGAAAATTCTTAATGCGCTCTTAGAGCGGAGCCTGTGTGAAAGTAGTGATTCACATTGGATTTGAATCGCTGAAAATCAAATCCATTCGGAAAAGAAGTTTATTCCACATAAAAGCCGTTCTCCAAATGAAAGAGTTTTTGAACATTGAAGTTCGAGATGTACTGAGTTGAACTTCGAAACGATGAGCGTATTTCTGATATGTACCGCTCTTGGTGGAATCGAATGTTCCTAGTCATTTGAAGACTTCCCGTGAAAGTATTTAATGAAGAGAGACAATTTCCCAACCTTTCTTCGATGTTACAGACTATCAAGGTGATGTTCGCGTCTCCAATCAGGCAGATGGCTCTTTTCTGAATGGAATCCAGCAGTTTCACGGTATGTTTGGGGGCGGAGAACAATACTCCAAAGAAGGAGTGATCTGAGCTCAATACAGCATCAAAAGTTGCTGAGGTGTGTACAGTTTTCTGGTTCGGATCAGTGTTCCAAGCTTTTGAGAAGCAGCTTTTGCAATTCCAGCGACAAGATTGTGCCAAGACATATTGGTGTCCATGACTTGCATCATCAAAGAAAGGTTGGATATTTGTCTATCTTTTATAAATATATATATTCTCCGTAAGTGTTCAATTGACTTGGCATATTTGATTCCACACAAGAGCAGTATATATCAGAAATACGCAACGGACTGTAGCTGCTCATCGTTTTGAGGTTCAACTCAATACAGCTCGAACTTTACCGTTTAAGAAATCTTTCATCTGGAGAATTGCGTTAACGTGGAATGAACTTCGTGAGAACGTTTTTCCAAATGGATTCAATCTCCAGCGATTCAAATCCAATGTCAATCGCTATTTTTGCACATGAAACATTTTCTATATCACAAATCAACCGTTCACGAGATAATTCAGATTTTTTTGATGAAATAAAACATGAGTATGACCACCATGAAACTGCATGCTACGAAACTTTCATTTCGAACAGTTACAGAAAACTTATTAAAGCCATGAATTTGCCGTCATGATTTTTATTGAAGACAGGATTTCTGATGAACAAATAATGAATTACAAAATGTTTATCCTGAATGTTTTATAAAAGAGCGATAACTCAAAAATAGTGCATTGTCTTCTCACACAAAATATAAAAAGTAGTCCAAAATATGTTTCAAGGCATGTTGCTATTGCGCACGGCTGGTATAAACTTTGAAGTAGAAATGGGGCAATTGAGGCTGGGCCTATGGCGAGAAGCGCTTACGGCGTAACCTCTGCTGCAGGCAACCAGTGATGCAATTGAACCCATGTTCGTGTTCAATGAACCCTACAAAATACAAATGAAACAGAACACAAATGACATACAGACGGCTAAAATACCAAAGAAGGCTCAGGATGTAGAGTGTACTCCAGATCGCTAAGCCTAAGGATTAAGTGGGGAATGGGAAAAAATACCAGCGTGGTCCAGAACTGGCTGGTATCTCAATCGCCACAAAAGAAATATAAACATAAACAATATGCACTGATAGCAGACAAGCCCTATTAGCCTTGAACAGACAACGTGTTACCTCATGGCTAGAACTAGAGTGCCACCAAGATTTAGCCAAAGCCTCGGTAGATAATAACATTATCCTGAGGTGGGTTGAAAGGCATGACAGGAGTAAAGGTGATCGCATTGCCGAATCTTTAGCCAAGGAAGCGGCTGGACTAAGAANAATACAATTGCGGAACTAGCCAAATGGTACATCCATACTCAATCCCTAAAGAGATGAGCGTACCAATATGAAAAAAATTAAAAATCGCTAATCGAATATTCGTAGCCCGCGAAATTTGAACACTCACCTCATATTATAAACAGTCCACGTACCTCATGAAAATCCAAAACCCAGTATGAAGAAGCTCGAGAAATCTATTGTATAGCGAAACACATGTTGCGGTTTTGTAAACTGTTTGGAGAGAGTTAATAAATGCCTAGACTGCTCAAAAACACTTGAAATTCTGACAGTAACTTACAGGGATTGTACTCTGAACCGGAAAAATGTTTAAAAATAGTATAAGCTTATCACAGAAGGTGGAGAAGATGTGAATGACCATGCTCGCCCTGGAGGCTAAAGAATATACAAAACCGATGAAAATTTCGAGAAAGAGAAAAAATTGTTATGGAGAATCGTTGAATCACTAGTAGAGAAGTTGCTGAGGATGTCACCATATCGAATGGATCATGCCATGCAATTTGTCCGGAAATTTTGGGCACGAAGCGTGTGGCTGCGAAGTTCGTTCCAAAATTGCTAAATTTTGACCAAAAAAAAACGGTCGCATGGGCATTTCTCAGGAATTGTTGAATGGCGTCAACGGCTATCCAGATTTGCTCAAAAGGGTCATAACTGATTATGAATCATGAGTATATGATTGTGTCATCGAAACCAAAGTCTAATCGTCCCAATAAAAGAGCCCACAACAAGTTCGATCAAATGATTTTTTCGAAAAGATTGTGCTCACTGTTTTCTTCGATTGCTGTGGCATAGTGCATCAGGAGATCTTGCCACATTTGCGAGAACCAATACGAAGAAAACGACCGGTATCGTGGTAAAACAATGCATGGCTTTTGCATAACGGTGATGCACGTGCTCACTCGTCATTTCTTGTTCTTACTTTTTTTGCTTAAAACAACAGCCACCGTATTCGCCAGATTTGCCCCCCTGTGACTTTTTCCTGTTCCCAAGTATCAAGATACCCATGAAAGGACGGCGTTTTGCGACGATTCAGAAGATACCAACCAAATCGCTGACAGAATTCAAGGACGTACATTAAAGAACATGTCAGAACTGCTTCCAGAAATTGGAAAAAGCGCTTGCACAAGTGTGTTATATCTGAGGGGTGCTACTTTGAATGGGCCAAAATATAAATTGATAGAAAAATGAATATTTTTTTAACAGGCGGCATATCGATAAATTCATCACATACCAATAAAGCTAATATGAATTATTATACAGGTAGCTGGAAGAATATTGACATTTAGACCTGTCCAAATCACGAAAAATCAAACATTGAGATGAATTTGAACACAACTTACTTTAATAAACATGATTGTGTGTTTATTTGATGTCACTTCACTACTGTTGCCACCTTCTGCTGTCGGTGTGAAACTTATGAATTCAAACACTTTTATCCCCGATGAAGTCACAGTTATATTTGACATTCATTTTCCAGGAATTTATTTTTCTGTTACTAATTCAACTAGACAGGAAAAAAATATACCTAGATTAAATTAACAATTAACACTTAGTGAAAATAATATGCACTAATGAATGAAGATGAACAATATTTATTCAATAGTTTTGCGTCTAGGTTCTCAATATAACACGATCAACAGCTAATAGTGTTATTTCCAGTGTAAATTGTTTTGGGAATTTTTGTTTAGATCACCTAGTACAAAATATTTTCAAGAAACAATTTCAGGGGAGATTTATGAAACAATGATATCACTTAAAGCTAATGTCCTGGAGAGCAAGATATTATGTACTTTTTGAACTAACCTTTTTTTTTAAGTAGGAGGATAAACCGCTTCGTTACCTAACGCGTAACGGCGCCAGTTTATATGACTTACTCTTCTCTCGCGAATTCGTCAGCAGAAGGCAGACTCCTCCTCTCTCGTCGGACAAACGATCAGTGTTTAGTGTGCGATAGACACGTACTGTTGGCAGTATTAGAAAAATCTAACCAGTAAACACGTAATATTTTTTTATTGTGTGAAACGTGGCTTAAAAATGATACTAATTTTGTGTATGTACATTATGAGTATCATTATTTAATATTACAAAAGTAGCATTTGGCTATGATAGATGTATATACACAAAATAATAAAAAAGATTCTATTAATAAATAATCTTTCATTACATTAAATGAAAGAAAAGAAAAAGAGAAGAAAAACAACATTGCTTAGGGCAAGTCCGCCGCGCTCCTCGACGAAGCCTGGACAAATGCGCCCGAGTTGAAAGTGATGGCCATTAACAATAGAGAGGGGGAAGGGGAAAAAGAGAACAAAAATTTAGAAGAGAACTATTTTTTCAATGAAGTAATCACCTGTGAAGTAGTTCCAACCACGAAATCGAACCAGTTACACCCAATTTTTTCATCAGAAGGAATCAAGAAATAAAACAAGTTATTTTTCGTAACATTCTATATGTACAATAATAAAACAACTAAATGAAAAAAGTATATCATGGAATTTCTCACTACTCAGTACCCGAAATTAATGTATAACTTTGAAACATTGTACTGAAAAAAAAATCATACAATAAAATTATAGTTTTCACAAGGTTTATGCAATATACACATCTGCAAAAATATAATCATCTCTTTGTAAAAATCTGTGGCACTAACATCAAGTCTACATAAAAAATCAGTGCTTATAGCTTCACCTAAACATTCAGAATATACTCAATTCAAGTCTAATGTAAGTGTGGGCAGTTCAGAGATATATTTTGGTTTTGTTCTCTATAAAACAAAATATTCATTCGTTGATAATATACCATCAGATAAATTGAATTCAAGATAAACGTTCCACTGTCATGAAAAGGAAACTAAAAAAATTGGTTTTTATTCTAACAAGACAAGCTACAATGACAATTTTTTGGGATATTTTTTGCCATTGCAACACTGACGAATACTATAAGTGATTCCACTACTTGTTCTAATTCCTATCATTGATCGCCTGTTTCAAATTTGCGAGATATCTTCGATAAAGAAACACAAAATACATGAGGATGATGAAATTAAAGAATATGATATGCACACTAATAGAAACATCCAATACGAGTGAAAACTTTCCACATATTTTTTCATTCACGATAAGTTTCCTTGTAAATCAGAGATCAATTACAGCCTTGCATAAGTATTAGATAATCACACATCTATACCCTGTTCAAGAAGCACAACGCTAGCCGTCCATTGGAACCGCATCCGGCCGATGGGACCCGTGTACGGCCGAAGGGACAGCTGAACGATCCAGTTTCGAACCATTGGAGCTCGTCCACTAGACACTACTGTTCGGCCGTTATCGGCCGTCCGCCGGTCCAATCCGATTGAAATGGAATTTCTCGGTTCTATTCGGTCGAACTGTCTAACAAGTGTAGTTATTATAAAGAACTCATGTCCACCCTTTTTGAAATATTTTCTGAGAGTTTCTAGGTCTTCAAGATGGACATGAAAAGTAATTATTACCACCGTCGTGATGTACAAAAAACTATGGGCAAGAGCTACAGAGGAAATGGATGCGTAAGATAAGTTGATGAATGATTTTACATTAATTGCAAATTATTGACAGGTATTAATTACAACAAAAATCAATATTATTCCACCTCCATGATGCCATAATCTTTTTGAAAATTTACAATTTGACGTTAAGAAATAGTTAAAATAAAAATGTTTTGTTCAAACTTAATGAGTTATTATTGAATACCACTTACTTCAAGATCATCGCTAAGCATTCTTCCGGTACTATAACTTCTCTGAAATTTGACCATTTTGAAACAGATGAACAAATATAATTCAAAATGTATTGATAGTAATTGAAAAATTTGGCACCATCTTCCTCAAGCTTGTTATGCTCGTTATTCTTGTTATAATCGGATAGATCCATTATTTTTGTGTTTGCCCTTCGTGAGGTATATCTAATAGTAACAATATTAATTCCTCCACATCCATTTTAGTAGCCCATAACCTGAGGATATTCAACTGGTAGCCGACTCCAATAGTTAGGTTAAGTTACCGCAACCCGGCTCCAATGGGCGGCCTTACGGTTACATTGCCGGCCGTCTGCTATTCGGCCTTATAACTACCAAATGGGTGTTTGGCCAAATGCTGTTCTAATTTACGCCTACACCAATAATTCAAGTTTCAAACAATAGGCTTCAAAGCAAACTGATATATTCTTCATCAGAGGTTCAACAAATTAGTAACCTGAGAGTTTTCGAGGCCATTGAATTGAATTACAAATAAAACTTTCCGTTATTTTGTTCAACACAACGTGAATAGTCAAAAACACCAAAGATTTCTATATGAAAATGATAAAATTAATAACAATTTTCTCTGAAAAAGCTCAGATACAGATTTGTGTGAAGCTTAAAACAGTTGAATAAGACGAAGATGCATAGAAACCCTGGTGATTTAACCGCTCGGCGTGAGAAATGAGACTGACACAGTTTTGTACACATGTTGATAGATGGTGCAAGAATCGGAATCTGTAGCGCGTATTTTTTCAGATCTTCAATTCATGGACCATTATGTGAAAAAAAAAACTTTCCCAAATGCTCCCCAATGTTAACATTGAAGTGCCAACTTGGCGTTGTCAAGCTTGGTCACTTGGTCTACTCAGCATCTCTGTGAATAAAGACTTGAAATTTATTGATATTATTCTGTATTGATCCTGTATGACAAGTGCCGTAGGTTAGAATTTTGGACAAATATTTTATATGGGGAAGGGGTCCAAGTCATCACACCAGGGATCTATGCATCTGGAATGTAATTTTCATTATATCAGAATAAATTTTGCATGACTCAGAAATAAGATTATTCAAACAATTAATGAACAAGCACTGCAGAAACAAGAATTTCAATATTCTTTGATTTTCGTTCCGTTCGAAAAGAAACTATAGAAAAAGACGCCCACAGCATGAAAAACTTCATTGGGGCCTTAGATTGAATTGACATGAAAGAGTTTATGTTTCTCAATCAATAGTTCTGATATGGGATGAAACGGATAACAGTTTAGCCGGATACCGGATATTCGTCCAGCCTTGCAGCCGGATAGCCGAATATACGGCCGCCGAATAATAGGCGGAACGTTGCCATTTGGTGCATTGCATAGGTGACGCGAACAATAGAGTGGACTCGTTCCATTTCGGATATTTTCGTTGATTAGCGAAGCGAATTCATTGACTTATTGTATCGATTGCAGTGCATCTATCTTTCTACACCGCTTGCTACCTTAGTATTCATTTACCATAGCTTGCCCTTAGAGCAGTATGAATACTAATTAATTTCCCAAATTGTACAATTATTGTGTGATTACTGATTGTGTGTGATTCCCACTGAATAAAGCAATTAATCGTCTAAAAAATTTTTAATCCGGTATTCGGCCGGATAGCCGCTAGTTATCCGGTATTCGGCTGGAAACTATTTAGACTGCCGCATAGACCGGATTCCGGATAGTAAGCGGATACCTGTTTCATGTCTAGTGTACAGAAAAATACTTTTTCTTGAAACTGACCTTATTTACGAAGATAAGCAAAACCGCTTGCTTATTCAGAATAATTTGCCTTTGGTGCAGTATGAATACTAATTAATTTCCCAAGTTGTAGAATTTTTATGTGATTACTGATTGTGTGATTCCCACTAAATATAGCAATTAATCGCCTAAAAAATTTTTTTTTATTCCGGTATTCGGCCGGATTTGAGCTAGTTATCCGGTATTCGGCCGGATAGCCGCTAGTTATCCGGTATTCGGCCGGATAGCCGCTAGTTATCCGGTATTCGGCTGGATAGTATTTAGACTGCCGCATAGACCGGATTCCGGATAGTAAGCGGATATCTGTTTCATGTCTAGTGTACAGAAAAATACTTTTTCCTAAAGCTGACCTTATTTACGAAGACAAGCAAAACCGCTTGCTACCTCTCAATGTAGAGAAATTAGTATTCATTCATTATAATTTGCCTTTGGTGCAGTATGAATACTAATTAATATCCCAAGTTGTAGAATTATTGTGTGATTACTGATTGTGTATGATTCTCACTGAATAAGACAATTAATCGCCTAAAAAATATTTTTTTATTCCGGTATTCGGCTGGATAGGCAGTAGTTATCCGGTATTCCGCCGGATAGTATTTAGACTGCCGCATAGACCAGATTCCGGATAGTAAACGGATATTTACATGATCTACAAAGACAAGCGAAACCGCTTGCTACCTTGTAGAATTAGTGTGTGGTTACTGATTATATAACTCAAGTGATACTAACTGAATGAAGCGAAAAATATTTTTTCAACCCGGTATTCGGCCGGATAGTATTCAGGCTGCCGGATAGACCGGATTCCGGATAGTTAGCGGATATCCATTTCAAGTCTAGCGTACAGCCAAAGATTTTTTCTGAAGCTGGCCTCGTTAACGAAGACAAGCGAAACCGCTTGCTACCTTATGCAGAGTAATTAGTATTCATTCATCTTAATTTGCGCTTAGTGAAGTACGAGTACTAATTGATTTTCCAAGTTGTAGAATTCTTGTGTGAGTACTGATTGTATTTTTCAATTGGCACTAACTGTATGAAGCAATTAATTACCGGATTTTTTTATTCCGGGATTCGGCCGGATAGGAGCTAGTTATCCAACATTTGGCCGGATAGTATTTAGGCCGCCGGATAGACGGGAGAGCTGCCGAATATCCATTTCTTCTGTAAATTTATTCTTATTTTACTAATTATAAATTTATGATGATAAATATATATGAGTGGTGTGCGATTTCCTCATCATCTTCAATATACTGCGCTGTCTGCTACTGAATCGTGAATGCATTGCTCTTGAGATCTGAGATCATCCAATTGCCTTATTTCAAAGTAAGCTTTGCAACAAGAGGCCGTTTAAATCTTCGTTTATCTCCTATGAATGAAGTTTGTATCAATCTCATGAATGGTATCTTCAGGGATAGTCATTAGGCCCACTTGTGATTGATGTATTGATAAGAACATAAAAAATATCTTGCCGCCTCAGAGGTTATTGAACAGATATATGATACATTTTTCAGTTTGTGTTGATGACTACCCATAAATGAGAGCAAAGTACTTACTTTATCGTTCACCCAAATTTCTATTGCATTGATAACACACTGGGTGAATATTCAGATTATCTGAGGATTGTTTCTCTTACAAATAGGAAGCAAATCGGTTGAGAAAAAGTCTATTCTGTATATCCTAAATTTCCTAAAACCCCGCGTTGGTGAGTTACAGGCCTCTGTAAAAGTGAAGTGACCAAACTCCATATAAATTGGTGTTGACTCGGTATCATTAAGAAGAATTCAATGAAGAAGCTGTGCCTTTCATTATATTATATAGATATTCCTGACCAAGTTGAAAACAATTTTATTGCACTCATATTCACTTGAAGCCTTAAAAGAGTATTCTGCCACATGTAACACACATTGAGGAGACTGGTAAAATGACAGTTGATGATAATCTGGAAAACATTTGTAAAAATACTCCAATGATTCAAATCATGACTTCACCTGGATAAGTTGAATTACATTTAACTGTTTGAAACGGCTTCACTCTTACTGAAGATCACATCCATAGTTAATGAATGAAATGGAAATGTTACGAAATCCTCTCAAACTGAACCAGAAAAACAGGCTTACTAAGTACAAACTGTTACTCCAAAAAAAATTCCGAACTCAGGCTGTCACAATAAGATACTGATGCAAATTCAACATATATCCAAAAGCATACGTGTTGATACACGGATCCTACCAGAAATGAATACGGTTGACCTAAAGTTGTTCTCCAAACGAGTGTTTTTCAAAAATAAAAACTACACGAAATCATTTTCTAATCAAATATTTTCTACCAACTCTTCGCCCCCATTAGCTTGACAACTTCTTCGTAGGTTAACCAAAACGTTAAAGACCAAGGCGCCATTCGCATCCAAATTGGTATGAAACCTTTGTACAAGGCACCCAAACTTTCCTGTTTGATCGTTTTACGCAGACAGTCCACAGATGAAGTATATAGTAGGCCCCTGAAAACAAATAGAGCTGATATTGAACTTCGAAGAGGAAGTGGAAGTGAAAAGTTTTCATATTTTTGTAGGTACACGGTAACAAATACATTTTTTTTTTTAATTTAAACTGACTAGAAAATACGTGTATTGTTATAATAATTGTGTTTATTATAAGAGATAAGTTATGCTTGGATGTCAAGAAAACTGACACAATTACGTTCATACTAAAAGAACTGAAGGACAGTCAAAAATCCATCAAGGTTTTGGGGGTAACTCTGGATCAAAAACTTAATTAATGAGTTATTTTTTGCTGCTTTCTTTTTGGAAATACTGTTTTTGACATTGTCAAACTTGTTCAGTTTGACAGTTCATAAATCGACTTACGAATGTAAGTGTAAATAAGGATATATCTAGGGTTGAATATAATTGTATTTTATGTACTTTCACTTTTCACGTATAGTATAACTACTCTTTAAGATTAAGTACTGTGTATCTCAAAAATCAGAGCTAATAAAAATTTTTCATTGTTATTTTCGTTTTTATCACCCCAAAATTAGTAGAAATTGACTAATTTAGTGCAGGAAACATTCAAAAAATATTTTTTTGTTGTGTTGTGATTGAATTTTATTATCAAAATTCATGCTCGGTGAAGAAATTACATCGTACACTTCTTCCAATTTATAGGCAGTTTGGTCGGCCTACTGAGGGAGCTATTCGGAAGCTGGTGACTAAATTTCGAACCCAGTTCACATTATTGGACATTAAACCACCAACACGCATACGTAGAGTGAGAACCGAAGAAAATATTTCGGCAATTGGGCCTCTGTTACTCCACTACGTGGAAAATTTGACTACTTGACTACTTTTTGTTGCCCAAAATAGAAGAATTGGACATACCTGACATGTGGTTTCAACAAGACGATGCCACATGCCACACAGCACCCAAAACAATGGCCTAATTAAGAGCCGCCTTCGGTGAACAGTTTATCTCACCTCTGGGGTCCGTCAATTGGCCGCCTAGATCGTGTGATTTAACGCCTTTGGATTATTTCTTGTAGGACATATTGAGACTCATGTCTACAGGGATAAACCACCAACGACTGAAGCTCTGGAAACCAATATTGAAACATTTATACGTGAAATACCGGTCATCAAGTATCGACCAGTGCTATTCAATTATTAAAAATTTCTTGTTGTTCCTGTACTTGTTGTGTTGATTAGTGTATGATGAAAAATATAGGCCACAGATGGTACATGGTCGCTCAAACAAATGCCTCGACACTGGGGCAATAGCTATCATACCAAAATTGCTTCAAATGTGACGACGCTTGGAGATCCAATGCTAGCTGAAGTAACAGTGAGGCGAATTCACCTTCTATCTCTTATATGATATCTCTTTCTATGGTAACACACCCACTTGACGTCTGATTAATTAAGTACCAAGTCGCACCATTTTTCAATTCCTCAGCCTGTTCAATATTCAATATAGTAACATCAATGCCAGCACTCTCAAAGTTTTGTTTTTATAACTCCACATCAGGTGTTCCATTACTGCAAATGTTTTTGAGTGTTTCGTTAATAGTTAAAAGTTCATGTTTTAATATATTTTAAACTGTGACGTCACGAAATTTAGGACCTTTCCCACCCCCTTGTCACACAATATTGCACTTCGGCGACTCCCCTCCCCCCTTAACATGTGACGTCATTAATGAATGACCCCTAATGATAAATAGTGGCATAATTATAATAAATCACACCAAACGCTAACCACCATACAGTAACCATGTTATTTTTATGGTATAATCCATTGAAATGCTACATTTTTTTAGGCCTTAGCTTGCGTTTTTCAAAGGTTGCAATTTTTTTTATTGTGTAGGGAGGGTCAGTAGAAGCTTAAGTTCAAGTTTGTGGGGTCGCCACCCTTGTATCCCGGCCGCCATCTTGGAAAAAGGGTGCATGTATCTCGTAAACTAGCAACCCTACAGAAAATTTAATCAAACATAAAATGTAGTAAATTGAATATTTACAATTTTATTTTCAATACTTTTCATCTTCAAGTTACCAACAACAAAGTTATAAACAAGAACACAACTTCTGAAACAACCTAATATAAGTCAGAAAATGTTCTCACCTTCCTTTTTCATCCAACGGTTGATTCATAACCCTAGTTTTGATGACGTCGGCTGGTGTTCCCATGGAGGCGGCAACGAATCCAGCGCAACTACTAGCCAAAATATGCAAGACATAATTGTCCGGTAAATCAGTGTGTCTCATGATGACTCTCTTCGCAGTGTCGTAAGTTGTCAGGTCTCCCAAATTAACCAAAGCTGCTCTCTGGACGTTGGGAACAGATCCTGTTCAAATAAATCTATGAGAATAATTCAGGTTTGTCGATGTAATTTATGAGCACACGGTTGAACCAACTATCTAATTCAAAAATGACCGTCGTCAGTAATGAGGAAGATTATTATATTTTTTTGTGAAAAGAAACATATGAACTACTTGTGAGGCATAGGATATTGCACCTCTTGAAGTGAACAATTTATATGCTGGAACGGAAATTCACCAGATGGAACGAAACATGAGATTCAAATCTGTCAACTACTTCCTATTTCATAACCTATGAACCTCGTGTTTACCAGTTTCCGTTTGAGGCACGAGATTCAACTCTAAAGTGAACAATTTTGAAGAATGTTTCAATTTTCCAAAATAAAAGTCAATGGGGGCGTATATCACTACGTCGAATTCTCACTATGTCGAATTTTTCATACGTCGAAAGCCATCCCTTCTCCTGACGTCACCAAAATACGAAACTTGTCGAATTCATCAGGCCGTAGGTTCCATTGGGTGCCGTAATGATAATTCAACGCAGCGACAATTCGACGTAAGAAGAGAAATTAGTCTAGGAGTATCACTACGTCGAAATCTCACTACATCGAACTAATCCTCCACTTACATCATCAGAACGCGAGTTAAACCGAAATAATCATCTGTAACATGATTTAACAAAATAATGAGTGCAAGGACGGCAATTTGATGGTGATTCGTACTCATGTTCCCATCCATGTGGGTAATAAGAGATTCTGCGATAATAGTATAGCAGCAACACTGTTGTTCATTACTGTAACTCTTAGTAGCCGGAAGAATGAAAACTTTCATTGCAACTTGATGAATTTCCAGTGTCACTATTTTTCGGGTTTGAAGGCCATAGATTTTTGGGATTTCTTCCTGACGTTTCGCTTGTTCGAGTGGCTAACTTCTTCAGATGTTAATACATCCCGGGTTAATCTCCGCTGACTGGATATTACAGCTGTGTAAAGCGTATTTATGTTGATTCAGGTCGTTTGATGTGCTAACACCTGTATAGTGGAAGTAAACGATATTGTGCACATTTAAAGGTGGCGGCACTCTCAAAGGCCAAAAGAACCAATACATAGAAATGAACCGGCAGCATTTTAATGTATATAAGAATCTACATCTCAAGTTTGGTTTCGAGGGAAACAAACTATTACAGGCAACATCAGATTTGACCGAAATTACTTTCTCGACTGTACGTAAAATAATCAAAAACAAACCTTATAAATGCAAGATGTGATGTGATACAGGATTACCAAAACCTCTAGATGTTCATCTAATAAAATCATTGAAAAAAACAATATACGAGTGTTACAAAAGCAATAAGATTTCTACAACTGAAATCATAAGGCTGAAATTGAATACTTCCGCCATAAATTGAGCTGCTGTGACAAAACTCTTCAGAATTGGATGAAGAAACTAGGATTTGGTTTTAAAATAATAAACAATCGTCAAGCATTTATGGAAAACAGACGAATAGTGGAGTTGCATAACAAATACTTAGAACAAATAACTAAATATAGACAAGAACAAAGGCAAATTTTCCATTTCGACGACACAGTTACGAAAGGGTGGACTGATGGTTCGAAAATGTGTACGCATAACATGCCTGCAAACAAAGGATCGCGATTAATCATTGTGCATTGTGGAGAAAGTAAAGGATGGGTTCCGAATTCTTTGTAATTATGTTGAAAAAAACTTGGGGATATTATGAAATATTTAAATGCGATCAACACAGAATTATAAGAAAATGGATATCTTTGAAAAAGATATTGCAAGAAAAGAATGTATTCATTATCAGACAGTCCTTGAATATGAAAAGAACTCTGAAGAAGACATTGCAGTTTTTATAAAATTTCTGGCCGATCTTAGAAACGAATTTGCTACAAGATTCCAAGACTTTGCAGAGATGGACAAGCTATCCGTTTCTTGAATCACCATTTGAAGTCGATGTAGCAGCAGAATGGACAGATGTGGCTGCCAAGTTTTTCAATCTGTCAAAGGCATCACTTCAAATTGAGATAATTGATTTGCAAGAAGATGTGTCTTTGCCAATGTATAAAACGGTATCCACGAAGAATTATGGTCCAAACATGTCTCAGAAAAATATGAAAATTGGCACGACATACGTATGTGAAACATATTTCGCAAAGATGAATTTTTTGAAAAACAAATATCGTTCGAGATTTACGAACGTTTAGCTAGAAGACATACTTCTAATTTGCTGTTCCTCTTGAGAACCAAACTATGAAAAACTGGCTCATGACCGTCGCGTCATTAATTTTAGGTCTTGTGTTTTATAATTAATAATTTGATTTGAAACCAAAATAATACAAAGGTAGCACTAAATTTTCATCAGTTGTTTTTTCTGGACCTCGTTAAAATTTTCCCACAGTATCCGGACCCCACCTAAAACTAATTGCCGACCCCTGGTCAATACGAAGTCAATTCGAAAGGGCTAATTGAGAAACTAATGTACCGAGTTTGATAAATTCACTAATTTTTATCTTCTTCTTGAAGATGATCACCCGGTGATTGAAACAAGTATCGAGGTGTTAAAAATAACGGTTTGGTGTTGAGATAAAACTCCATTAATATTAATTAGTACACCAAAGATTCCAAAAAGTGCTTCACAAGCACTAATCAATACCATACAAAACCTCCCACAGAAAAATAATGATCAGACCACGTATACCACGCCTCCTATGCCATACAAAGAAACTGCCGACGTTCGGTAACCATTCAGCTTTTATGCCATTCGAATTGACTTCGTATAAGTCTATTTGTTGCCTTTACCTTTCCATAATCCTCTGATCCCACCAGCTGACCAAACTTTCTGGAAAGCGTCTGCGATTCCATTGACTCGAGGGGGGAGTCCCAAAAGTCTTCGTTTACCCTCCATCTGGAGCTGTACTTTGAGCAAATCGGTGGGACTGGCCAGGTATTGGGCAAATGCCCCAGCAGATACCCCACCTTCAAAACATATCGTCGGTTTGATGCAAAACACCACATCTTTTTTCACATAACATTTCATACAATTATATATGATAGTCTGCATCAAAATCGGATATTTTTTTCGAAGCTGTAAGGCAGTTCCTTTAAATTAATGACTGTAGTTCGGTTGATAGTTAATATAATCTCAATTTATTTTCAATATCTTTTCAATAGTTCGGTTTGAAGAGGAATCATTTAGGTATTATACGAATGAAGGAACAGTTTTCAGGAAATGCCGATGAAACATTCAACTTTTTCATTGATCTATTAGTTTTTTCAACAGAGCAAAAATTAGGTTTTTTGCTTGTATAGTTAATCCAATGAATATGACATGAAAATTCTTTGAACTTCTTACGTATAATGCAAAAAGCCCCAGGAAAATAATTTTCCTGGAAATCGACAAGATACTGATAGATATTACTAACAGTTGGGCTGAAAAAATCGTAGGCTAAATATGATTTTATTATTCAATATCGTTGCCTTCCAGGGCAATACAACGATTATGACAGTTATACAATTTTTCGATACCATTTTTATCAATCAATCAATCAATCATTTTCCATAATTGACAACATACATTGTACAGGGATAGCCACAGATACTACACAACCATAAAACTTACAAACTAATGAGTGTATAAAACAAATAAGCAAATTATGTACACAAAAATTCAGTCACAGTGACCCATTTTTAATGGAAACACCCCCCTAAAATTTGAAGTTGTAAATCGATTTTAATATTTTTTTTTAAATGTCAAGTACTAAAAGGTCTACCTTGGGACAAAATTTGAAATGTTTATGAAAGTTTCAGGGCATACTACGATATTTTTTCTTAGTCGAAAATCGGGATTTTTTATTAGTGATCTTTTTATCGAAAAGATCACTACGCCACTGGATTCAGAGTGCCTCTAAATAGGTGNGCCATTGCTTCGTCAACACACGAAGTTCCTTTTTATCCATTTTCTTCACTCAAAATGTTCTATCCCACAAACTAATAGTCCAACAGCTGTGAAATTTGTAAATGTGTCTTTTGAAGGTTAGGGTGAACTAAAAACCATACGGATTTAATAATGGTAACGCCATCTGTGTATTAGTCTACGAACTTTTCAGCCCATCTAGCAGATTAAGTGAAAAAGTTGAATTGGCCATCAACGTTGAAAACCCTTCACATCCGGAACATTCGACGGATTTTGAAAAGTTAATTTCAAGTCCAGAAAGCAAGAACTATTTAATTATGAAGGCACTTACATAATGCTGACTGCCACAATGGAAAATATGTTTGCTCAGGATGTCGTTTTATGAAAGCGTCTTTTAACGCTTTGTAGGTTATGATCCTAGTTCCAGAATAAATTAAATGTCTGAAGAAGGCTGCGTGAACACCTTGCCAAAGTTTTCGTATGCCTTCTTCTCTTGTGATACCAAGTGCCGTTTTTATCATTCCTCGGTAGGGTGTCTATAAAAAAAAAGAACAAAAAATACAATAACGATTGGTTGGACGTTAGGTCGAAATAATAGTAAGATTCCTTAACTTGCTTTATTTTTTTCATTCCTTTTATGTTTTCAGTGTAGTCTGCGTATCTGACAAATACAACAGTTTTTGAACCGGAATGTCTTTGTAAATACTTAACGTATTTATCTAAAATTACTGACAAAGTATCGCCTTTACTCCATAGGATGTGATGACATTTTTAGCAAATATTATAGATATGCAAATATCAATTGCAATGTATTAACTGATAAATAATACGAATTATTCAATGTTAATAATATTTTATCAATTTAACAACTTTATAAAGGGTATTTTTTATTGAGGTATAGAACTTTAAATAACTTTTTTCGAGATCAATTGCTCTAACACCAAACTGATATTTTTGCACTCGACGCGCGTTTCGCCAACAAAGTTAGCATCCTCAGGAGAAGAAAATTGATACCTAGTCTAGTCTGGTTAGTCCATGAGGTCATTTT